ACTGAGCTACAACCCCAGCCCTGTTATATAAAATTAATAAGCATGTTACAGAGATAAAAATAACACCCTGGACAACTCAGAAAGAAAAAAGAAGTGTTGGGGTTTTGCAGAGATGTCAGAGGAGGTCTAACAGTAAGCAAGGGTGGACTGAGGATGATGGTACTGTTGCTTAATAGACACCCTCAACCCTTGTGTTTTCAGGATCCTTCAAATAAGCACTTCTTGTTCTTTTTTTAGCAGTAGCTGACTTCCTCCCTTCTTCTCCATCCACTCACTGCCTACCATGGGGGTGGAAGGTCCTTTTGTATTGCCGGACTGGGATGGTGACCAGAGGCAGCATGATCTTGTGGTAGCCGAAACCCAACAGTGGGTTATAACTTGTCCAACTAAGTTGAGACACTGGAGGCAAAGAGGAAGCAAAATGGTTGGGCAGCAGAAATTTTGTGTCATTCTCCAGAAAGATTGAAAGTCCTTAGTCACAAGGTTGTCAGAAAAGGGAACCTGCTACTCTCCTACCATGATATCCTATTTTCCTCTGCGATTTTTCCTTTATATTATCTTTATTGAGATTTGGGTTGACTTTAATCAGTTGCTTCAAAACAAATAAAACCCAACACACACACATGCAAGTGCAAAAATCTCAAAAACAGAGACGGGGTCATGGCCATCCATTGCTTTCTCCTGCTCCTCTCTATTAGCACATCCTTAAGCATCACGTGTAACAAACGGAAAATGGGTACCTATACAGTTCTCCCAATATCAGACCTGTCAACTGATTGCTCATATCTCTTTTTTCCCCCCTGGTTCTTCAGTAATGAATTTAATTACCCCCAAAGTTTCAGATCTACCCCTCCCTAAAGGGCCAAGATAAGAAAGGTTTGATTCAGGAACACTTGAGAACTTGGATGGCTGGCACTGACTGTTGGACACTCTCTGCTCTGTCAGATTACAGGTTCATATCCGGGGCTGCTTGAGCATATTGGACTGACACCATGAGCCTCTATCCTCTCCATGGAGTCTGATGTTATTACAGGGACACAGTTTCCAGCCTCTATTGGAGAATCATGTCTCTGAGCTGATGTCCTGACTTCTAATTTTCCCCACATACAATATATTTCCATTTCTATAATTAAGCTTCTGCGTTTGAGCCCCTCATGAGTGACCATGGTGGTCATCTGCTCAAATCTCTTTCTAGAATTGAGGTCTTGTCTTTATCTTGAAGGCCTCTCCCTGCAAGGACTTCAGGCCAGTGGCAGGTTGGCTCTTGTTAGTGCCCTTCAGTAGGCCTGCATCCTGTCTCTGACCCCCGGGATGATGCTAGGGGTCTAGTTATCCTTGGACAGATATACAGGTGGGCCCCCTCACTTCTTGGGTTTTTAAGTTTCTGCTGAAATGCTTCATGATCTACTCTACACCCAACAGGGACATCAAGGCCATGTTGACACTGGACTTTTGTTTGTTTTGAAAAAGCTAATTCAAGTCAACTTAAATTATACTGAAATAATGGTGTGTGAACAGAGACTGAAGAGATGGCTATTCCTTCAGATATTCTGTCTTGAGAGTCTGCCAAAATTTCTATTACTGACAAAGGGCTTGCCCACCAGTACCTCTTTGGTAGGGGAAGAGAGAGGTGCAGCTTCAACTTGAATAATCCTGTTTTTCAAGGAATAAATTTCCAAATATGAAAACCATCCATAATGGGACCAGGTTTTACTCCACTTTGGCAAGAGAATAGTGCTTGGTGGTTAAGTTTAAGGACACTGGGGTTTATTTATTTTTAATTTTTTAAAATATATTTAGTTGGACACAATACCTTTATTTTACTTATTTTTATGTAGTGCAGAAGATTGAACCCAGGGCGTCACATGTGCTAGGTGCATGCTCTAGCTCTACCGCTGAGCCACAGCCCCAGCCCTGACACTGGGGTTTAAATCCCACTTCCTCTACATTTTGGCTAAATGACCCTTTGACTTAATGTGTATCAATGTTTTTATCTGTAAATAGGTATAGTCATAGTATCCATCTCATGGGTGTTGGGGGTAGATTAAACAAAACAATAACCGTCGTCTATGGAGAGTGTTGTCAGATGAGTAGGGATTGTTCCACGCATGGTTTGTTATTGCTATTATTTTTTTAAAATATTTTTTAATTGTTGATGTTTATTTTATTTATTTACATGTGGTGTTGAGAATCGAACCCAGTGCCTCACACATGCCAGGCAAGTGTGCTACCACTGAGCCCCATCCCCAGCCCCTGCTATTACTATTATTGATGGGAGATAGGAGAAAGGAGCAAGAGAAGGAGTTGAGGAAGTAGATGTAAGAAGTGGGAGGAGAAAAAGAAGGATTAAGAATGTGAGAGAGAACACAGAGAGGGAATGCACAGGGAGCAAAAGTGATGAGGGTGAGTGGCTAATATGTGGAGGGACAGTCAGAGTCACAGAGCTCCCAAAGTGACCACGAGAAAGTCAAGCTCAGAGCACAAGACTGTGAGTCTTGATTCTCCAAGAAAACCTTTCCAGTGGGGAGCAGTCAGAGGTTCACACACTCAGACTTTCCCTATGTCAGTGATTTCAGGGGAAAACGGGGAATTTCTACCTTCATCTCTCCACATCTTCTCAGCTGCTTGACTGCTCTGAATTCTAGGAAGTGCATAAAACCGGTGTGCACTCCTAAGCCCAATGCCAAATATGAGGGCTCACCTCTTCTAGGGACAGCAGGGGGGAGGATTTTATGGCATACATGTGCACTCAGGAAAATGGAAATGTTTGTGGAATAATCTTTAAGAGGCAAACGTATCCGTTCAGTCAAGGTGAATGGTGTGTGAAAATGTTTGCAGCTTTATTCTATAAAATATGCACCATTCTCTATTTAAGGAGTCCCTAATGACATGAATATCTCACCTGGTTCCCTTTTCAGAACAACAGCCCACACCTAAGCTCAAACTCATTCTACTTTTCTGCATGCCCATGTTCCTTGGACCATCCCAAACAGAGGAGTCCTGTCCAGGATCTTGGTGCAATAAATTCAAGATCCTTCCTAACAATGCATGGGACATCCAGTGCAAGCCAGATGCAGTGGTGCATGCCTTAGGTGGGGTGTGGGGTGGGGAGCTGAAGCAGGAGGATCTCAAGTTCAAAGCCAGCCTCAGCAACTTAGCAAGGCCCTAAGCAACTCAGTGAGAACTTTTCCCAAAATAAAATATAAAAATGGCTGGGGATGTAGCTCAGAGGTAAAGTGCCCCTGGGTTTAATCCCTGGTACCACCGTCACCACCACAACAATTAAAAAACAAAAACTGTGAAAAAACAAGAAATAGCATTAGCTAATATTTGTTAAGCATGTACTGTATTTGGTTTCTATACCAAGTATTGTAAATTATTATTTTGATTCTCTAAATAATCCTACTAGTAATAGTTTCCCCATTTTGAAGGATTTGAAACAAAAGTTCAAGAGGTTGCACAACTTTTTGAGGATCAAAACTAATGGGCAAGTGAGTTGCTACTAGATGATTCGACAACTTTGACTTCAGTTTCGGGAGAAGAGAAAGTGTATCCTAGGGCAGCCTGTTATATTGCCCTTTGAAGAATGAGGATTTGAACACTTAGTGGGGAGATCAGATGGAGCAGAAAGGCCTATAGCCTTGAGTTACAAGAATCAATGTCCATTTCTAGTCTTACCAATTTCAAGAAGTGGCACTTCAGGTGAATTATTTAATTTCTGAGTCTTGGTTTACTCTTCCTCTTTTTCATTACTCATAATGAAATTAATAATTTTCATCTCACCTGTTGCAGAGGTCCTAATACAGGTAACATAAGAAGTAGGCATGATAATTGAAGAATACTTTTCAAATTAAGTGAAATGCCACCCCGTCTATTCCTTCTCTGAGAGATAAGGACATCCCTAGGTTCCACTCTGTTCCCCATCTACTTGCATAGGGGATCAGCAGAAGCTGCAAATACTCAGCCTGCTCAGTGGTTGTAATCTCCATGAAACTCAAATTAAAGGAGCCATACCCTGGTCAAGGAAACCAGAGAGATCATAGTGCATTGATTCTACTTTTTCAGAAAGTCCTAACCCACCAGGTTTCCTAGGTTCTCACTAATGCTAGGCATTTGCTAGTGCACATTCAGAGCTGGTAAGAATACTAGAAGTACACTTAGAAATTCCAAACATAATCAATTTTTACATGAACAGGCAATTATTTGGATCTAGGATGATAATATGAGCAATTATAAAGCACTCTGAGGACTTTTTTGTTAATATTACCTACTTGTTCGGTAGGTAATCTAAAAACCAATATTAATTTAAGGCATAAGTAAGGAAAATAGAGCTTATAACTCAAGTTCTGAACCTCTGTTTTTGTTTGGAATTTACTTGCACAAAAATGGCGGGAGGGTCATCACCTTTCCCCCATTTATTTTAGAGTTTTTGGAGAATAAAAAGCAGACTAATAATCCTGAATGTGCTTTTAAAATGAAAGGAGCTCATGGAGAGGAATTTTTTTATAGTGAGAAATCATGCAACATTCTAACCTGATAGAGCAATGAAATATCATTAGTCAGATCATATCTCTCTCAAAAACCACATAACACATTCTAATACCAAAAAAACAAATTGCTTTTAATTTGCTCAAGGTTTTGGATTACCTGTCTTTTCATTGGGTTCTGTGGGTGAGTCTACACATTGGGTTTTGTGGGTGAGTCTACACAAAATGCTGTCTCTTCCCAGAAGAGGGTTTTTTCTCAGATGTTTGGAGACAGCACAGATAAAACTCAGAAATATTAACTCTACAGTTGAGAAACAACTTAAATTGTTTTAAGATTTGAGCTTAAAACCATCCCCCATCAGTTGGATCTCTTTTCAGTACAAGGTATACTGAAGCAGAGGGTCTTCTGTTGAAAAAAGATCAAAGGGACACTTCAGTATCTTTCTTAAGAGCAATTTCTACAATTTTATGGAAAAGTAGGAATGAGGGAGGTTAACAAGGGTCAGAACTCACAGGTTTGCAGAAAAAGGAGCGAAATCCACAGGAGGTGCTGGGCCATCTTCTTCTGGGCTCTAGTCTTCTGCAGACAAGAATGATGCTCTTCTACCACAGTCTGTTTCACTGGAGTTTAGTTGCCTCTTGCTTCTTTTTATAGCTGCGTTTAAGAGAGGAAGTGTGAGTTAACCGATTAAAGAGGTATTGGTCTTTGTAATACTGTGCTAGTGTCTTCTGATGATATAACATATGCTGCCTAGCATTAGTGAATTATTTATTCAACAAACATTTATGGAGTGCTGATATGCGCCAGGTACTATTCTGGATGCTGGCAAATATCAAGAGCAATAAATAATGGATTGCCCTGCTTCCATAGAGTTTATACTCTTTTTTTGGAGGTGTCAAGAATTCCATAGGAAAATTCTAATAAAGTGTGATAAGTGTTGCACTTGGGAGAACTACAGGGAGCTGTGAGAGCAGGAATATCTAACTCAGGCTAGGGTGATTTGGAGAAAGCTTTCTGAAGGAACTGACAACCAAACTGAGACAGACTTTCGAATAAAATGGCATTATTAGACAAGAGAATGTAGAGTAGAGGGAAGAGGAAGAATGTCTTGATACAGGATGGCAGTTTAATAAATGGTGTCAATTGATATTATATAATTATAGTTATGTAAATAAAATAGAATTACATATACATCATAACCTTAGTGTAGTATTATGTTTATATAATTGTTCTTTAGTATATCAAAGATGTACACTTTTATTAGTATATAATTAACTTATAAAATATATATTAGAATATTATATAGTGCTATGTACAATTATTAATATATAATTAACTTATGAAATATACATTAGAATATTATATAGTGATATGTAATATCAGCTGCATATAATTATGTTATATGTATTATAATTACAAGATACTATGATTATGATCATACCTTCTTAGTGACATAACATAAGTATTTAATAAAATTTAAACTTGAAATGGATTTTTAGAGTCTCTCATCTGTTTTGCAGTTGGGGAAATTAAGGCTCAAAGGAGAGGAAGTAATTTTTTCTCAAAGTCAATAAACTAATGCAGATAAAAACCAGCAAATGTTATATGGTAAAGACTGAAACTCACGGGGAGGAGAGACAGAAGGTGCAGAGAGACATGCTTCAATGCATAGCAAAGTGGGGCTAGGGTGAGAGATTGCACAGTGATAAAAAGCTTCTTACAATATGTGACAATCACAGAACTTTGTGCACCCAACCCCATACTATTAACATTCATAAAGCAAAAATTTGAAAAACAGGTAGAATTTGTCAAAATGGTCATGTTTATTTTATTCCCAAGTCACATGGCCACATGTCTTTGTCTTGATAATGATGTAGAAGGATAATAAAATCCTTTAGATCCATGGGAAGAAGAAGAAAATATGGAAAAAATGAAAAATCATACTTTTCTTGGTATGCAAAAAACCCTTAAAGGTTTAAGCTTCAGAGAGAAATGAACCCTTTGTAGATGAGCAGAGAGCCAAGTGTTCTCCCAAACTTGGGGCAAGATACCGGGCTGGGATCCAGACCAATAAGAGAGTCCATCGTTCTAAAAGACCTTGCAAGAGAAGAATAAATTAGATGAAGCTTAGATGACAGATGCTCTGGCGAGACAGATTGGAATCTGAAAGGTTCCTCAATTTCCAACAATTCTTTGTCCCCAAATCCCTATCCCACTCCAGAATTTTGCTGAGAAAGTGGCACCAAGAAGGGATTGGGAAGCAGAGACAAACTGTATAGTAGCACATATTTCATAATAATTGGATTATAAGGTTTTAGTCCAAATGTAAGTTAAAAAAAATAGTAAAACTGAAACCCGACTCCTTCCTGTTTCATATACTGGTACAAGATTTAAAAGTCAGTGAAGGAGTTTAGGAAGGTAGGCCAACAGCAGATCTAACTCAATTTAACTCTGAGGGGAATATTAATGACCAGCTTCTCACTCAAACTGTCACACAGAGGGAAGGACTTACATTACCAGGAAAATAAAGCAAAGCAAAGTAAACAAAACAAAACAAAAACATTATATTTGAATATACACTATTTCTTTCATTCCCAATTATTGGAACATTACAAAATTTGTAAGAATGATGAAAAAGAAAGAAAATATGATTCATAACCAGGAGAAAACAATCCAACCTTCCCTCCATCTTTATTTTTAAATTTTGAGACAGGGTCTAGCTAAGTTGCCCAGTTTGACCTCGAACTTGCTACCCTCCTGCCTCAGTCTCCCAAGCATCTGGGGTTACAGGTGCACGCTACCATGCCCAGCTATAAATTTATTTTTAGAAAATGCAAACTTATGTGTAGGAACAGAGAGCAAGTCAGCAGTTCCCTGGTGGGATGGGGGACAGGGCAAGTGGCTGAGATCACAAAGCGCACAAGAAAACTTTTGACTGTGATGAATATGCTCATTATTTTATTATGGTGATTGTTTTTTGATATATATAAATGCAAAAAATACATATTTAAGCCAAAAGCTTTCTCCTATGCCCGTTCCCTTAAATAGAGAGCACTGTAGAACAAGCATCATGGAAGTTGCATCAGGAAACCAGGGTTCAATTTCACATGACAGTTTCCACCCCCATAATCTCAGTCACCTCACAATGGACAGGAACTGCTCTGGCCCAGGGCTAAAGAACCCGCGGAAACTGCTTCTCGGTCCAGGTCCTGCTGAGTACTGTGGAGGTAAATACCAACGGAGCCTTCATAGGCAGTGACAACAGGATTGAGACGGGGCTCGTGAGGGCCGGTCAGGACTCACCCGTTGCTTTGGTCACCCGGCAAAGGGAACGAAATGCTGCCATTCGCATGGGATACCAACATGGCAGAGATCTGATGTCATCAGAAAGCAGCAGAGGAGATAACTTCATCGATACCAGCAGCAACAGAAACAGTTGGTCTCCTGGTAAAGAAAGTGAGTCACAAACACCTGACTCTCTCTCACTTTGTCATCAAGCCAGAGGGGCAGAGCAGAGCCGCCGCCCGCGCCCGGAAGAGGCCCAGTGACCTGCCGGCGTGGTACACACGTCACCCCAATTGGAGTAAGGGCAGAGCAGAGCCGCCGCCCACGCCTGCAAGGTAGGCAGACCTGCGACCGACCGGCAGAACAGGCCCAGCGGGCCTTCAGCGTGGTAGACAGATCACCCCAATTGGAGGAGGAGCACAGCCACCACCCGCCCCTGCAAGGGAGACTTTTCAACTATATAAGAGCAATATAAATATATAGGGGGAAAATTTCAAAAACACAACAGTTTCACCAAGCAGAAAGAAACATGAGCAGTATGAAAAAACAAGGAAAGAAAGGACCACAAGCAATGCAGGTCAACTCAACTTTAGAAGAGGTAACAGCTGCAGCAGATGGAATGTCAGATAAAGAATTCAGGATATACATGCTTCAGATGATCTGGAGTCTCAAGGAAGACATTAGACAGCAAAACCAGACAATGAAAGATCACTTCGACAATGAATTACATAAACAAATCCAAGAAGCAAAAGATCAACTATACAGGGAGATAGAGGTTATAAAAAACAAACAGAAATCCTAGAAATGCAGGAAGCAATAAGCCAACTTAAAAACTCAATGGAGAATACTACCAGCAGAGTAGAACACTTAGAAGATAGAACATCAGACAATGAAGACAAAGTATTTCAACTTGAAAAGAACATAGATAGCTCAGCAAGACTGTTAAGAAACCATGAGCAGAACATCCAAGAAATATGGGATAACATTAAGAGACCAAACTTAAGAGTCACTGGGATACAGGAAGGTACAGAGCTCCAAACCAAAGGAATGAGCAGTCTATTCAATGAAATAATACGAGAAAATTTCCCAGACTTGAAGAATGAGACAGAATCCCAAATCCTAGAAGCCTACAGGACGCCGAATGTGCAAAATCATAAGAGATCCACACCTAGACACATTATAATGAAGATGCCCAACATACAGAATAAGGAGAGAATTTTAAAAGCTACAAGAGAAAGGAAGCAGATCACATTTAGGGGTAAGCCAATCAGGATAACAGCTGATCTTTCAACACAGACTCTGAAAGCTAGAAGATCCTAGAATAACATATTTCAAACACTGAAAGAAAATGGGTTCCAACCAAGAATTGTGTATCCAGCAAAATTAAGCTTCAGGATGGAAGATGAAATTAAAACAAATCAACAACCAACAATAAAAATTAAAATAAAAAAAAAGAAACCACGCCTGCAGACCGCTGGGCCTGATCTGCAGGTTGGCCGCAGGTCTGCGTACCTTACGGGCGCGGGCGGCAGCCCCGCTCCTCCCCTCTGGCTCGACGACAAAGTGAGAGAGACTCGGGTATCTGTGACTCACCCTCCCTACCAGGGGACCAACTGTTTCCGTCGCCGCTGGCACCGATGAAGTTCTCTCCTCGGCCGCTCTCCGATGACATCAGATCTCTCAAGCTGGCATCCCCTGTTCTATGGCTGAATCCCATTTTCTTCTCTTCCAATAGGCGGAGCTGTGCCCTCTGAGCCGAGCTTCTGCCCTCTATGTGCTGACAGAAATCCCTGTACGGTGGCTCCTGGGAGTCTCTCAATCCTGTTAGTCCAGAGCCCTTTCACTTATCCGGCCCCTCCCCCTGTTCCTCCTCCCAGCCAGCCAGCCAGGTCCTGTTCACCAGAGGCGGTTCCCCAAGGATCTGATTACACTTGCAGCCCCACCGCGTGTCCTATATCCCGAACGATGAACACCCTCTCTGTCATTCATCTAAGCCCCAGTGCTGTGGTGGGGTGATCTGGGACCCAACAGTTTAATTTTTCCGGACCCCTTTGGTGGGCACGCCCCCAGAAACTGGCGGCTAAGATCTTGGGTGTCGCCGCTGGTGTTAAGGGGAGGTGGGGATCTGGAATCCCCTCTGCTTCCCTACAGACACGCCCCCGGAGAGATTCCCGAGGTTTCTGGCTGCTTGTATCTGGAGGGGGTGGGAGTCACACACCTGCTAACGTGGATTCCGCTGGGAAGGAATTCTGTCGGCGGAACTCTGGTGATGTCACCTCTCTGCTATGGCGGGCCCCAGGCTCCTTGCCGGAGTGTCCGAAGGGAGGGGTGGGACTGGTCTGTCTCTGGTTGGTTTCAGCTCCCGGTTCGCTATTTCATGAAGGCTTGGCGAGAGACCTCTTCCTAGAGTCCCTGCACCGCTCCTGCTGCGCTGCGCCTCGGAGGCTATCCGCCCTGACGCGGGGGCCGCGTGCAGGCAGCCGACAGTCGCCGAGTCGTGCGGGCAGCGGCTGGCGGGTCTGGACCTCTGCGCTGCGTGGCGGAGATTCACTCGTCTAGCGCAGACTGTCACCTCCAAAAATCCTACCGATTCCCGGCCGGTCTCTCTTTAGTGGAATTTTGCTAGGAGTTTCTCAGCAGGTCGAATCTCTCTGACCCCGTTGTTGAGAAGGTACTGAAAGCGCTGCCTCCCCTCTCGCCGCCGTGTTGGATCCCCCTCAATAAATATTTTTTTAAAAAAGACTTTTTAAAAGATTTTTTTTTCTAAAAATAAACATCTTTTATTGAGGTAAAATAAATTTTACCTATTACTCCTTAAGCATTATTTTAGGATATAAATATATTAGTATATTTAGATAATTGGCCACCTCATCATCAAAAATAGCAGAATAATCATTTCTGGTACACAGTCACAGAGTTTTTACCAGTTTCTAAGTTGTAGTTATCCCCAATACTAAGTCACTGGAATTTTTTTCTAAATCTCATGCAGGCGATGGAATTGGGGTCCCTCTTTGTGGAGTGGGCTGACTGTGGAGTAAAAGCTAATAAAGAGAAAATGGCAAAAAACCCACAGTACACGGGAAGTAATTTTGAAAAGTGGGGGTGAGGCAACTCTTCGATCTGAGGGATGGAGATCCCACACTGGAAGGAGAGAGCGATGGAGCCTACACTTGCTTTATGTATATGGGGGGACATCAAAAGTTTTCCATGGAATGTTCTTTGCCAAATAAGGTAGGAGTTGGGCTGAACAATTCCCAACCCGTTACACCCAAATCCGTGTCACTATTAGGATGAAGACACAATGGAATATTACTTAGCCTTAAAGAAGAATGAAATTATGTCATTTGCATTTTTTATGGTAAGTGGATGGAGTTGGAGAATATCATGCTAAGCAAAATAAGCCAATCAAAAGTTCGAGGCTAGCCTCAGCAATTTAGCAAGGTCTTAAGAAATTTGGTGAGCACCTGTCTCAAAATGAAAAAAAAAGAAAAAGAGCTGGGGGTGTAGCTCAGTGGTAAAACACCCCTGGCAATCCCCATTTTTTTTTTTTTAAATTGTCAGGTGGAAGAGGAATTAGATTATTTGGAGAGAGTAACTAAGATGAAAGTATAGACAGGTTTTAGGAAGAAGTGTTTAATGTATGAACAACTCCCCTGGAACAATGGAACATGGGGAACCTCTGTGAGAGTTCAGGGGAGTGTGGAGGATGCTCAGCCAGGAGATTTGAAAAGGCATAGTGGTTTTATTATCATGCAAAGGTGCAGGCTTCTCACTGCAAGACGGAAGCCAGTTGGTTGAAAGGCAAGGTGGTTGCAGAGAAAAAACTTTATTGGATAATCTAATTGATCAGAAAATGGCTATTGTCCTCAAGCCTTAGCTAACAATTGTAAGGAGGAGAGAGCTTACAAATAGAGAAGAAAATTTATTTTTGGTCATAGTCACGGGTTAGAGTATACAGAACTCAGACAGGTGGGTGCCAAAGCCATCCTTAATTCTGCAGGGGTTCATTTCTTTGGCCAATAGTCTGATGTTATCTGAAGGAGCCCAGATGTTTTGGGTTCTGTAAATCTAAAGAAAAATCACTACTGAGGAGGGGTATTTTTGTTCCTTTTTTCTGGAATATCTGACTCTAGCAGTTGATCTCTTAATCATTTAGGTGCTGGGACTTCTCTCTAGAATTTAGGATGCTGGGCTAAGAGGATGAAAACAAGAAGCTAATTTGCAAAGGACAAGTGTTAGAGTCTGTAAACAAGTCAAGATGGCGCCTGGCATTTTGCCAAAGGGAGTGGTTTGTGAAGTAACGCCAGCGAGCCATTAAGTGTGGAGATTCCTTATTGGTTGACTGCTGTATCTAGTTTATGTTAATGAAGATAAGCTGTGTGGAATGTATATATACCCCTCCTGTCCTACAATAAACGGCTCCCACTCCAGCTGTAAGTTTAACTCTAGTTGGGCGTGGTGGCCCAGTGGCTGGGGAGGCTGAGGCAGGAGGATTGCAGGTTCAAAGCCAGCCTCAGCGACTTAGCAAGACCCTGTCTCCAAATAAAAAATAAAAAGGGTGGGGATGTGACTCAGTGGTTAAATGCCCCTGGGTTAAGTCCCCAGTATTGACAAAACAAAACAACAACAAAACCCCAAATCTGTTCGGCAAATGTGACTTAATATGTGCACCTTACACACTTGGACCTGCTCATTGGTCTTCCCAAGCTCACAAAATAGTTTACGCACTCCTCCACCCCTGAGGTGGAGTGAGAGGTGGGGTGGGGAGAGGACATAAAGGCCACTTTCACACTAACAGGATGTCCACAGGAGTCACGGGTTAGAGTATACAGAGCTCTAAAATTCCTCCTGTCTATTTATGTGTTCAAGGCTATATCTCTTAAAATATAATCTCAGTTTTAGCTTACCACTGTTCTCCATCTCCCCTTTGTGGGCTGAGGGAGTACTGGGGATTGAACCCAGACTGAGCACTTTACCACTGATCTGCAACCCCAGCCGGCCCTTCCTCCCTCCCTCCCTCCCTCCCTCCCTCCTTCCCTCCCTCCCGGCTTTCTTTCTTTCTTTTTAAAAGATTTATTTCTATTTTTTTTTTTTTATTTTAAGACAAGGTCTTGCTAAGTTACTGAGTCTGGCCTTGAACTTGCGACCCTCTTGCCTCAGCCTCCTGAGTCACTGGGATTGCAGGCGTGCACCACGGCACCCAGCTTGGAACCAATGTTTTTTTAAATGTTTGAAGAATTTTAACATCGAGGAAGCATTCCATTCTATTTTATGCAGCTCCAAAACGAAACCAGCGCAGGTGAGAGGTTGTGATGTGTACATTTTGGGGTTTGTATCCACGGATCCTGACTCATTACTCCCGTTGCCTTGGTATTTCCTAAGGAACTAGAATAATGTGGGGGTGATTAAAGTCCTCAAATGCAGGCCCCAGAAAGCAATGTCTCTTTCTCTCTCTCTGACCTTATCCTGCTCTTCTTTACCCTGCTCATTTTTCTTCCAAAGGCAGCCCAGAGAAACTGAAAATATTCTCTAATCTTCCTCTACCTTGGAGCTGTTGGCTATAAAGAAATTGACTCATCTTGTCTGGTAGTGGGTCATAGGACTTCCGTTTCAGAAGCGTCCTGCCCCATGCCAGGAGGAGGGAATACTGCACAGACGGACCAAGAAGAATCTGAACAGAGAGGTCCTGCTGGGATCCCCCACGCAGTCTACCAGCCATAGATGCTACTCATTGTGTCCAATCACATTTCAACATGGTTGTTCATGCTTCAAGCATACACACTCAGTGAGGTCCCCATAAAACCCCCAAAGGTCAGGATTTGGAGAGTTTCCAGATAGCTGAACATGTGACAGTCCCTGGAGAGTAGTGCACCCCGAGAGGACATGGAAGTTCCACACCCCCTCCTCCATACCTCCACCTATGCATTGCTTCCTTTGTTTCCTTCACGATACCATTGTTATTATTTTGCAGTACTGTGGATTGGACCCACGGTACTCTACCATTGAGCTACCTCCCCAGTCTTTTTCCCCCCACATCATTCCCAGTTATTTTTATTTTTTAATTTTAAGATGGGATCTTGCTAAATCAACCAGGCTGGCCTTGAACTTACGATCCTCCAGCCTCAGCCTCTTAAGTCACAGGCTTATGCCGCCATGACTGGTATAGAAAATTCTTTATAATAAACTGATAAATGAGTTTTCTTGAGTGAGCTGCTCAAGCAAATTAAGTGAACCCAAAGAAGGGGTTGTGGGAATTATGGTTGATAACCAGCTGGTCATAAGCCCAGGTAAAACAATCCAAGGCTTTTGATTGGCATCTACATGGAACATGGGGGCATGGTGCTGATCCCTCAGTCTGTGGGATCTCCAGGTAGACAGTGTAACAGTTGGGTTGAATTCGAAATACCTAGCTGACCTGGCATGGTGTAATCCCAGATGCTCCGGAGGCTGAGGCAGTATTGCAAGTTCAAGGCCAGCCTCAGCAACTTAGTGAGGCCTTAAAGCAATTTTGTGAGACGGGTCTCAAATTAAAAATGGCTGGGGATATAGATCAGTGGAAGAGCACCCCTGGGTTCAATTCCTATACAAAAAAAAAATTGTGACAGTGGATCATAAATTGTTCAGGCTGGTCTCAAACTTGCAAATCCTCCTGCCTCAGCCTCCTGAGTCACTGGAATTAGAAGACTGTGTCACCAGGCTTGGCATCAAGTGACTGTCTTGTCCTTCTTGGAATCTCTTGTCTTCTGTGACACTAAGAGATCTTATTTGCATCCTTGGAAGTGTTTTGAATTCTTCTGCCTTTTAAATGTGGGTGTTACATTATCAATGGCTTTTTTCATCCTTCCTAGTCTCACCTTCCAAGTATGGCTATCATAGGTAAGGATCATATCTTGGTTCTGTTATATTTATTTATTTTTTGTTCTGAACCACAATGCCTCATCTTTGGCTGCTTCATGGAAAATTTTGACTTCATTTCCATTGTCACTTCAAACTCTCTACCTAAAATAAGCTTACCCACCTTATTTCCAAGCTGAGTCTCACGCACCTCCTACATGCTTACCGAAGACCCTTCACTTCCTCTGTCATTGGGGTGATTACACATCCTAGCCATTGTTCCAGTGTAATTATTGTTATTTGTGTGTGTGTGTGGTACTGGGGATTGAACCCAGAAGTGCCTTACTGCTGAGCTATAGTTCCAGCCCCTTTTAAAAAAAATTTGGGACAGGCTCTCACTAAGTTGCTGAGGCTGGCCTCAAACTTTCAATCCTCCCATTTCAGCCTCCAGAGTTGCTGTGATTACAGGTGCCTGGACCAGTGTAATTAATAATAGCATCTCCTTTTATTTTCCAATGGGTCCCAGGAGATCACATAGTGATAAACGTATAGTATAGTTGTGCGTTACATAAGGAAGTTTCAGTCAACAATGGATAACATACATGACTGTGGTCCTATGGGATTCTAATGGAGCTGAAGAAACCTCATCACCTGTTGAGACTATAGTAGTTCAGCACATTATTCACGTGTTTGTGGAGATGCTGGTACAAACTTGCCATGCCACCACTCACGTGAAAGTACAGCACATACAATTATGTGCTGTACATTATACTTGTATATGTGTGTGGTACCGAGATTGAATCCAGGGGTGATTTACCACTAAGCTACATCCCCACCCTTTTTTATTTTAATTTTGAGACAGGATCTGAATTACCCAGGCCGACTGTGATCCTTCTGCCTCAGCTTCCTGAGTAGGTGAGATTACACGTTGTACCACCAGTGCCAAGCTTTAACTTTTATTTATTTATGTATACACATATGTTTATTATTATTATTTTGATATTGGGGATGTAACTCAAGCCTGCTTTATCACTGATCTGCATCCTCAACCCTTTTTATCTTTTTGTTTTGAGACAGGGTCTCACTGAGTTGCTGAGGCTGGCCTCTAACATGTGATCCACCTGCCTCAGCCTCTTGAGTGGCTGGGCCTACAGACATGTACCAGGTTCAGCACATAATACTCAATGATAATAATGAACAACTATGTTGCTGGCCTATGTATTTACTATACTATGCATTTTATTATTGTTTTAGTGTACACCTTCTGCTTATTGAAAAAAAAGTTCAGCATAAAGCAGTATGCATGTTACACCAGCAGCCTCATACATCTCATGTTTATATATATATATCTTAATCATAGATACATGACATTTGCATATATTTATAATATATATCGTATATATAGCCTCGACATGTAGTAAACTACACCATCTAGGTTTGCACAAGTCCATTCTATGATTTGCACAATAATGAAATTGCGTAATTGCACATTTCTTGGAAAGCATCCTCACTCTTAAGTGACATATGGGTTTGTTTTAATTGTGTATGTTCTCAGCTCCCACTGGGTGTCAAGCTCTGATGCTTAGTAGGAACTTAACTATTTTTGAAATATTGCAGTTGACTGTGGTTAAAACCTGTCATCAATTCACGTTGGGCCACCTTATCTCTGAGGGGAGGGGACCACTCTCTCTCCAGCCTGAGTGTCATGAGCTGTTGAGACTCTAGTCACAGTTTCAGCCAGTCGGATGCAAAGGAGGAGCTGGTGGGGACTCTGGGTAGGGCAGAGTGTATTGCCATACTACCCCCTTGTGGCTGTTGGGTGGAACTCATCTTGGGCATTGAGATGACAGATTGATTTCATAGTAGGAGTATGTTTTTTTTTTTAATTGGTGCATTGTAATTATACACAATGGTATGATTCATGATGCCCCATTGATACCTGCACACAACATAATTTGATCAATTCGCATTTCCCAGAAACTTCCTTCCTCCCTTGCCCTGATCCCTGATCTACTTTCTCTACTGATCTCCCTTCTACACTGTAATTATTATTATTTAAATTAATGCATTATAATTACCTATATATTCCCATATACACATGGGATTCATTGTGGTATATTCATACATGGACATTGCATAATTTGGTAGATATCTTTCTCTAGTACTTCCTCATACCCACCCCTCCTCCCTCCTTCTTGGTCCCCTTCCTCTACCTATTGGTCTCCCTTTTATTTTTGTGAGATCCCATTATATTATTATTATTATTATTATTATTATTATTATTCCCTCATCTCTAGCTTCCACGTTTGAAAGAAAATGAGCCTTGCTTTTCCGAGTGCAGGTTATTTCACGTAGCATGTTGTTCTCCAGTTACGCCCATATTTTTAAAAAGCTGCCTGTGTAATTCTGGTATTTAGGTAACCTTGAAAAAATTGGCAGATTTAGGCCATGCTTAAGTGGCCAGGTGTTCACTTTCAAGGTATGATTGTTGACAGATCTACTTCTTGGTATATACAAGTGTACTCAGGCCACTCAGAGCTTACGAGGGGACCAGCATATCTCTGTGTTAGTAGTTCTCAGATTGAAAAGATTTTGCCCACCAAGGGAACATTTGGACATGTCTGGAGACAATTATTTTTCAGTGCTGGGGATTGAACCCAGGATGTCACACAATCTAGACAAGATTCCTACCCCTGAGCTACAATCTTAGCCCACGGAGGCAATTCTGATGGTCATGATCAAGGACAGGGAACGTATTACTGGCACCGAGTGGGTAGAGGTCAAGGATGCGGCTTAACATTCCGAAATCCACAGAGTAATCCTCATGACAAAATGTCAACTGTTGCTCTAATTGAGAAATCTGCTCTAGATTTCTACTCAAGGGGAATTTGAGGCAGTTCCAGAGAAAGGGGATTACTCTGGCAGGGACCAAAATTAATCACTCCTTGAACGCAGTTCTCTACCGTGTGGGAAGGGTGGTTCCTGAGCTCCGGTGAATGGCCCTCATTCCCATTAGGAAAGGGAATAGCTCACAGCTCGTTCAACTGAGGCAAAGATACCATCTTCAGGGTTTCATAACCAAAGCTGTGGAGACCTGGATTGTGCAACCTGTCCAGCCATAGGTCCATCCTCCAGGAAACCCAAGACAAAAGTGAAAACTCCTTGGTCCATTTGCTGTATTTTATTCATTTCCCCAAAGTAGACACGTAAACATCAGGAGGAGAATAAACGCGTGGTGGCTTCCCGGCCAGCACACGCAGGCATCCTGTAGTCATCACATCTTTGCTCTGTCACTCGGGAGGAAGCCTGGGGCTCCACCCAGTTGTATTGCAGAACATCAGTCCCTTCAAACCAAGAGTCAGCCTGTTCCTCCTGACTTCTCCAGAATTCAGAGAAGCTTGGTCAAAAGAAAACCACCTTAGAGGAGGAACACGGGGAAACCTGACTTGGGAGTCTCTGCTTTGTTCTTTTAAGTCTGAGGAAAATGTTAGTTCCAGCTCACTCACAGTATGTGTGGGGGAAGCCAGGGAGAGATATCTGCTTTTCCTCCCACAACCCAGGCCTGGCGCTGCAAGGCATAAGAGATGGCCCCAAAGAGTCCCTCCAAGACAACCTCCCTCCTCCATGAAGTCTGGAGCCTAGGGATTCAGAAAAGTGGGAAATTGCCTCTCCTCCCACTTTGTTTCTGCCCTCCCACCAAGTAGAAGTCAGTCCCAGGAGAAACCCAGTTGTTGGGAATGGAGCTTCTAAGTTTTAGAAGTTGAGAAGTTTTTAGAGTTTGTTTTATTTGGGCTGTATCAGGTGTTGGTGAGCTATATTCCCAGCCCTTCTTTTAAAATTTTGATACAGGGTCCCACCAAGTTGCTGAGGGTTTCACTAAATTTTTGAGGCTCCTGCTAAATTGTTGCTGCTGGCCTCCAACTTGCAAACTTCCTGCCTCAGCCTCCTGAGTAGGTGGGGTTACAGGTGTGCACCACTGTGCCCCGCTGAGCCTAAAGTTAAGTAAGGATAATGCAGTGAAGTTTTTTTTTTGCCTGCTCAGCACCTGATTGTTATTTCTTCTACTTGGGAATTCCCTAACTCGTAAAAGACAGACCCCATCAATCACTACAAAAGTGGAAGGTGTCAACTATCCAATTCTTGGCCTCCCCTGGAGACAGGAATCTGTGTAAGTCTAGGACTGTCCACTCTCAATTCTCAAACTTTGAATTAGAAGCTAGAAATAAAAAAGACGAAGAAGGGACTATGGAGCATTCATTTTGATGACCAGTAACAACAATACTGAGTTTCTAAGTCCTGAGAGTCCAATGTCTAGTGCTGGGGCCATGAAACTGTGGTGCTCAGGATGGTCATCATCCCTGAACTAATTTGGTGTGGCTTGGTTTGGAACGGGGGATTGAACCCAGGGGTGCTTTACCACTGAACTACATCCCAGCCTTTTTACTTTGAGACAGGGTCTCTAGGTTGCTCAGGCTGGCTTTGAACTTGAGACTCTCCTGCCTCAGCCTCCTGAGTTGTTGGGATTTCAGATGTGCATCACCACAGCTGACCGGGGCTTTATAATTTTGGCTATGGTCCTGACCCTTTTTCCTGCTCACTTTCAAAGCATAGTTTTGCAGAGTCTCCCAGCAGTTACTGGAACTAACTGATATCTTTTCAATAGGTTCCTTTTCTACATAAAATAGACAAAGTCAGTTTGTGTTGATCACAACTAAGAAACTATCACAGAAGTTGGTTCCAGGAAAGGGGAGGCCCTGAGCACCGGAACCTCAAATGTAAATTGGCTGAACAGAGAAGGTAAGAGACAAAGACTTCATAAAGAATTTTGCACTGGGGAGTTGGTGCTCCTTGTTAGAAAATGAAACAATTATTGGTTATTTATTTATTTATTTATTTCTCAAATTATTCAACAAGGTCATACAAGAACCCATAAGAAAAAGAAGCCCTTAATTTGAAAGATGGCCTGTCTAAAAGGAGAGAATAGGAAGAAACCAGGAGTTTACTGAAAGAGGCTCTTTGTGTTTGCAGCCCGGAATCGAAGTGATTGAGCATCCAGTTATTTGAAACTGTTGGGTCAAAATAATTTAATTCTCCACTTGAAGGTAAATTTAGTAAGAAAAGAGGTATTCAGGAAGTAGAAGTGCCCTGTAGTAACTCTGACCTCCAATTTCATATGAGGCCTGGGATGTAAATGGGTTCAGAACCAGCAGAGAGTCTTAGCTGAGGCTCCCAATTTGTCACTCAAGGGAGTAAACAGAAACTAAGGAATCCATGTATTTAAAAATCATTTTAGACAATGGTGGTGGAATGTGATGGACATCCTTATCCAAAGTACATGTATGAAGACATGAATTGGTGTGAACATACTTTATATACAGAGATATGAAAAATTGTGTTCCATATGTGTAATGAGAATTGTGTTGCATTCTGCTATCATGCATGTATTTAAAAAATAAAAGCAATTAAAAAAATCATTGTAGAGCCAGGTAGGGTGGTGCATGCCTGTGATCCCAGCAGCTTGAGAGGCTGAGGCAAGAGGATTGCAAGGTTGAGGCTAGCCTCAGCAACTTAGTGAGGTCCTAAGCAATGTAGGAAGACCCTATCTCAAAACAAAACATAAATAAGGGGTGGGAATGTAGCTCAGTTAGCTCAGTTAAATCGCTCCTGGGTTCCATCCCTAGTAGCAATAAACAAACAAAAAATCATTTTAGGAAGTGAAAAATCTCCTTGGGACAAACAAGTTCCTCTGAGTATCTCAAGTTACTTTATATTAGAATCACTAAACACTCAACACTTAAAAACAGTGACAACGACAACAACAACAACAACAACAACAACGGAATGTTGTTTGTGCAAAACTATACTTTTAAAAACCTTAGAAGGTTTCCATTCTACCGTTCAAAGCTCCAAGACCTTAAAGTCTTTCTTTCAGTTTATTGACTTTTTTTTTTTTTTTAGCTCCTGGGTTTTGCATCTAAAATATCAAATCTCTTAGCTTCTTTTATAGAGCAGTCTTAGAGTGTTTTATGTATAAGATAATTCACTCTTCAGAGAGAGAAACTGAGGTGCAGAGCCTTGATCCGGTTGGAAGGTGATCTGGATCGGTTCCCAGGACAAAGGACAAACAAGCAAAATGTAAACTTTTCCAGACTTTGGGGCTGTTGGTCGGCCATCTGAGACAGGCACTAGATGTCCTGGCTTTCTGTTTTTGGATTTTAGTGTCCATCCTGTGGAAGAGTGAGAAGTCTGGAAGTCTGGACTCACGTTCTCCACTAAAGTTGGAAAACTGTATCAAGTAGCTCTCAGTTCTGTGTCCGAGTTGGCTGCAGAGCAGGCTGACCACCTGGGAAGTCCCACCTCCATCCCTGACTCACAGGCATGGGTGAAGAAACACCACCACACCATTGATGTGAACATTGTGCAGATGTGCACAATGTCTCAGGGCCCGGGGCCAAGTTCAGTGTTTTTGTCTTTGGTACTTCCGTTTTCCTTCGGAAAGTCTCTTCCCTGGGTCTGTGGTGTCAGCTCTCTGGAAGGGTCACACTGGCATAGACTGTGATGGGATTTGGTTCCTGTGGGCAAAGTAGGAGGCTGTGAGTGGAGGGATGGGGTGATTGGAAGCATTGCTTAGAAAAAAGAAAAGGGAGGAGGAGATCACAGGGCACAGCAATTTGCTCAGAGTCTACCACAGGGCATTGCTGAAGGCAGCACTTGGGTCCCCGAACCACTGCCCCACTTTCCAAGCATGAGCATGTCATCAGAGAGCCGGGGGACCTTTCCTCAGTCAACGGAGGACAGGCGCTCAGTGCCCTGCCTTTCCGTCTGCTCTCTTCTCTTCCTTTATTAGGAACACCATTTGCAGGCATGGGGCACAGTTTGGAGAAGCCCAGAGAGTTCTAAATTAGTGAGCTTTAAAAAGGGCTAGCAGTTGTGGCTCAGTGATAGAGCTCCTGCCTACCATGTGTGAGGCACTGGGTTCAATTCTCAGCATAAATAAATAAATAAATAAATGTCCAGAAACAACTAAAAAATATAGTTTTTTATTTTTTTAAAGGCTAGCAAGACCTAAAGTGTGATAGGAGAAATGGTATCAGCAAGAGAGAAGGGTGGAGGGGAGAAAAGGATTATGGGCAAAGAACCCCCAAGAGGGTAAGGAGAGTCACAGAAAGAAAGAGAAAGGAAGGGACAATGTAGGAGGTTTTGCTATAAAATATACATACTTTATTTTTCATTAAAAAAACTACGTTCTTTTTTTCAAAGCCTTTTAAATCAAATTTATATTTTTACTTCCCTCTTGGATTTGACAGTGTACTGAGAATAGATCTTAAGAGGAATATCTATTTGGAACAGGGCACCTCTCTGGGCACGTTTGGGTGCATGTGCAGGAAGAGCTTTGAAGAAGAGAGAGAAATGTAGAAATATTTGTGTCTTTGTGCCTCTGTCATTCTGTCTCCTGTAATACTTTAGTAGAGCCCAACTGGAGCCAAGATTTCGGCTCCAAATTTCTTTCTGTTCATCTAGTGAAGGAGAGACTCCTGTCAGAAGCAAGCACAAACCATGCCCACCTTGCAAGGGGGTGGAGGAGGTGAGTCTCGTGTTAGTTTCGTGTCCTGTTCTATTCTAGGCTTTACTAAAGCCTATGCAGAACGCCAGCCCTAAATACTCTGATTAAATGGGGGCAGTCAGTGTCTAGGCATGAGCATTTCCACGATGATAGTTTTTTTAATGAAATTTCATTCTTGATTAACATGTGCCTATTCATGGGCTACCACATCAGAGTTCAACAGAAGGCAGGAGCAGTTTTACAAGGCTCCCCTGGTGATTCTGTTTTACAGGCGGAGTTGAGAACTCTTGGACCCAAACTCCAACCCCTAAACTTAAGTACGCACAACAATCACCTAGGGGTTATTATTATTTTTTTTAATGTGTAAGTTCCTGGGTCATCTCCATAGATGTTCTGATTTAACAGAATTCTAGGTGGGAGGCCCCAGGAATCTTTATTTTTAACAAGTGTGCTAGCTCTGATGGGGTCTTTACACAACTCTCAGAGAAACACTAGTGCAAGGAGTAAGTCACAGTTCATGTCACAAGGAGTTTCATGGAAGCCCTAGAATGGAGGTCACAGCTCTCCCTTGGCTGACTGCTTGCCGTGGGCTACCTTCCAATTTCAGGACTCACCGATCTGTTCCATTTCATCACCACAGAAAAACAAAACCCAAACCAGCTCCCTCCCCTTCCCCTCTCTACCTGTTCCCTCTCTGCAGCGGAAAGGCACCGAGAGATGCCTTCTCTTACCTGGACTGGCTCTGTGGCAGCCACATAAATGGTGGTGCAGGGGTCCTCAGCTGGCAGGGGGTCAGGTTTCTTCTGAAGAGTCTGCAGAAGAAGCCAAGAAAGCAGATTAGTTGGGTGCAGAGTCAGTTCCCATGCCACTCCCCCCACAGAGAAGCCCACATTCAAGTACTTCAAGTTGAAAACTTAGAGTCACTTGGTCCAACCTCCTTTCTAGGTGGGAATTCTCTCCCCAACTTCCTTGGAACCCAGTTCTCTAGGCTTTGCTTGAACTCCCCAAGTGACATAATGGAGCTCACAACCTCCCAAGGTATCCTCATTCCCTTAGCACTACCCATGGTCTTTTAAAGTCTTCCCCATAGTGAACTGAAATTGGTGTGGCTCTTACGGGGCAGCCAAAGAGGATGAGTTCTTAATAGGAATTAGGCCATCACATGCAGAGCTTGTTCTACCCCACACTGCTGTCCCCCTTATTCCTCAGCCTAACGTACGTCTTCTCATTTGCCTCACAACCACTTTCTATGCCAAATATTGATAAAGAAGCTAAAGTGCAAAAAGATCAAGTACTTTCCTAATAAATACATGCATGTAGTATCAAAACCAGGAGTCCTACCAAGGTCTTTTTTTTTTTTTTTTTTTGGTACTAGGAATTGAACCCAGGGGTGCTGAGTTATACCCTCAGTCCATTTCTTTTTTTATTTTGAAAACGAGTCTCACTAAGTTGCTGAAGCTGGCCTCTAACTTGCAATCCTCCTGCCTCAGCCTCCCAAGTAGCTGAGATTAACAGGCCAAGACCACCACACCAGGCCTACCAAGGTCTTTAAGAGCATTCGCTTTCTATCACTACTCTCCTTTGGTTTCCTCAACTTATAACGACCTATCCTTTACTTAAATTCCTCAGGTATTCAAAAGTTTCATTCACACATTCTGGCAACTGAATGTTATATTTAAGACACTGATGTACTTATATGTCATTTCCCCAAACAGATTGTAAGTTCTTTGAGAAGTAGCCTATGTTTATTTGCATTCTCCACAAAACAGTGCTGGGAACATCACACACACACACACACACACAACAACAACAACAACAACAACAATAACAACAAACTAATAACAAAAACTTCAGTTGGCCTTTGTTGGTATTATTTTTTTTTTCAGTAGTGAAGATTGAACCCAGGGGTACTTTGCCACAGAGCTACATCCCACCCCCTTTTGGTTTTTATATTGAGACATGTCTTGATAAGTTCCTGAGACTGGCTTCAAACTTGCAAGCCTCTTCCTTCAGCCTCCCCCCCAGTTGCTAGGATGCATGCACCACTATACTGCACTGATATTATGTTGAATGAATTAAAATCCATAATACCTGAGTGGAATGAAATTGACCAAATTATGTTATGGGCATATGCAAATATGTGACAATGAATCCCACTACTGGTATGGCTATAATGTAGCAACAGATAAATCAATCAATAAAATAAAATCCACAATGCCAGGACAAGTCAGTGTAGGGATAAATTGAGATCCTACCCCTGTGAGATGGGAATGGCATAACTTTTGGTAGGGAAGTCATTACTCAGCACATTTTGGGGACCCTGGTGATGGTCCAATGCTGCTCCAACTTTCTTTGAATATAGAGCAAGACTTGAAGCCATAGCATGTGTTGAATGGGAGAGAACTTGGAATCTTGCCATCTAGGGGGAGAGTGAAGAAACTGGAAGGGTTTACTGGAGGAAAGGAGACTCAAGGGGGACACGATCTTTCCTACACATATTTGATGGATCACCATGTGGAGGAATTAGGTTTGTCAGTAGAGTCCCTCAGGTTTGGAGGAAATATTTTGGTCCAATATAAAGAATATTTTCTAATAGTAAAAGATGCTCAGATGTGGGATGGTGAGCCTTGGAAGGCAGTGCATTCCTACTGCTGCAAGTGCTTGGGCAGGGGCTAGATCAGGGCTTCCCACACTTGCTCTGTGCATATGGATTACCTTGGGATCTTGTTAGAAGGTTGGTTCTATTTCAGAGGATCTGGCTTAGAGGCCTGAGACTCTGCGGTTCTGGTAAGTTATTGCTAATGTAATAGAGGAGAGAATGGAATAATAAAAGTATAACTTTTAAAGTCCTCCACTAAAGAAATGCCAGGCTCAGAGACCTTCACCAGTAAATCCGACTAAATACTTAAGGAGAAAAAGAAGATCAGTCCTACCCAAACATTTCCAGAGAATCACTAAAATGAAAAATACCCTGTAGTGAGTTGAATTGTGACCCTGAAAAGATATGTTCAGGGCTGGGGCTGTGGCTCAGTGGTGGAGCGCTTGCCTAGCCTGTGTGAGGCACTGAATTCAATCCTTAGCACCACATAAAAATAAACAAATATAATAAAGCCATCCTGTCCACCTACGATTACAAAAAAAAAATTGAAAGAAAAAAGTCATGTTCACCCAGAGTCTTGGAATGTGACTCTGTTTGGAATAGAAGTCCTAGCAAATGTAATTAAGGTAAGAACTTCAAAATGAGGTCACACTGGATTAGGATGTGTCCTAAATCTACTGATGTGGGTCTTTTGAAGGTGGTAAAGGAGAAAACCCAGAGGCACAGAGAGGGAAAAGTCATGTGAAGAAGGGGGTAGAAATTGTAGCAATGAAGCCCCAACCCATCAGACTCCAGACACTGCCTGGGGCTGCCAGATGCCAACAGAGGTAAAGAGGTTTGTCCCAGAGAGCATTCAGCGCACATTTGGTCCCGCCAGTTTGTCCTCTTGATTTTAGACTTCTGGCTTGCAGAGCTGTTAGGGAATATTCTGTTGTTTTAAGCCATCAGGTTTGTGGTGATTTGTATGGCACCCCCAGGAAACTAACATACACCCCAACTCATTTTGCATGGTTAGCACTATCTTGATATCAGACACTTCATAAATGCATTACAAGAAAGGAGACTTACAGGCCCATTTCACTCAGAAACGTAAGCAGAAAAAAAAAAAAGTTAACAGAGTACTAACCTATAATATCCAGCAATATTTTAAAAGAACCAGACTAAATTGCTTCTATTCCAGGAATTCAAAGTGGGTTTGACTTTTGCAGATTAGTACGCTGTCACATCAGATAAGTGAAAATCAACAACAATAACCGTAAGATTATCTCAACAGACACAGAGAGTGTTGATAAAATTCAACATCAATTCGCCATCAAGTGTCTTAGTGAAACAAGAATAGAATAGTCCTTTTTTGTTTGTTTGTTATTGTATTTTGTTTTTCAGTGATGGGCTGAGCCCAGGGCCCCCCACTTGCTAGGCAGATGCTCTGTATCACTGGACCTTTACCCCCAGCCCCCACTATTCAATTTTTAAAAAAATGTTATTATTTGTTTTTATGTGGTGCTGAGGATTGAGCTCAGCGCCTGACACGTGCAAGACAGGCACTCTACCACTGAGCTATAGCCCCAGCCCCTCACACTCTTCCTAATGTGGTAAAAGAACCACTACTGAAAACCTCAGAAAAAATCTTAATTGAGAGATATTGAAAGTCCCCCCCCCCCAGTACCAGGGATTGAACCCAGGGGTGCTTAACCACTAAGCCACATGCCCAGTCCTTTTTATTTTTTGTTTTGAGACAGGGTCTTGCTAAATTGCTTAGGGACTAAGCTAAGTTACGGAGGTTGGCTTTAAACTTGCAATCCTCCTGCCTCAGCCTCCCAAGCCACTAGGATTATAGGTGTGCACCACTGCACCCAACAAAACTTTCTTTTTGAATTTGGAACCACACAAGGATGTCACTCTTACCACTTCCATTCACCACCATGTGGCACATCTCAGCAAGTAAAATAAGACAAGAGAAAGGAAGAGAAGTTCTCTGATTTGTAAATGAACAAATCAGACTAACTTTACAGATGATGCAGTATTTTACAGAGAAAACCGAAACATCTATAGACAAATGACTAGAACTTACCAATGGGTTTAGCAATGTGAGATATAAGGTAAATGTGAAAAGAACGATTGTAATTTGTATACGGGGTAAAAATGGGAGTTCATAACCCACTTGAATCAAAGCGTGAAATAGGATATATCAAGAACTATGTAATGTTTTGAACAACCAACAATAAAAATTAAAAAAAAAGAAGTGATATGAAACTCAAAAAAAAAAAGAACGATTGTACTTTTATATGTCGATAATAAATTACTAGAAACTAAGCCTTTTGAAAAAGAGAGAGCATGGATGAAAGTATCCCAAAACATCAAATGCCAAGTAATAAATTATTAAGGACGTAAAGTTCCCTTACTCAGAAAACTATAAAACATCATTTAAGAAAATTAAAGAAAGGAAGGAACTGTCAATTTTTGTGAATTAAAAGACTCATTACAATAAAGATGTAGTTCATCCTCAAATGGGTCTATGCAATTCTTTTTTAAAAATATTTATTTTTTAGTTGTAGTTGGACACAATATCTTTATTTTATTTATTTATTTTTATGTGGTGCTGAGGATCGAACCCAGGGCCTCACCTGTGCTAGGTGAGCGCTCCACCGCTGAGCCACAACCCCCCTCCCCGCCATGCAATTCTAATTAAAATTCTAGTAAGGTCTGGAGAGGGTGAGTTTAACAACTGCTTTTGAAATAAATATAATAATGGCTAAGAACTCTTCAAGAAAAAGAACAAGTGGGAAGATTCTTTTGACCAGATGTCAAAATTTATAATACATCTAAAATGAAGACGGTAGAGCACTGGTAGAAGTATATACAAATACATCAATAGGATGATAGCACTTTAAAATAGAATTACACATAGCTGGACGCGGCAGCTCATGCCTCTAATCCCAGCGGGAGGCTGAGGCAGGAGGATTGAGAGTTCAAAGCCAGCTCAGCAAATGCAAGGCACTAAGCAATTCAGTGAGACCCTGTCTCTAAATAAAATACAAAATAGGGCTGGGGATGTGGCTCAGTGGTCAAGTGCCCCCGAGTTCAATCCTCAGTACCAAAAATAAAGTAGAATCACCCTGAGTTATGATAAAGATGACTCAGCAGAGGGGCAAGGACAATCTTTTCAGTAAACAGTTAGTAAGATATTCACATGGAAAAAGAATAAAACTTGACCCCTTTTATACCAAACTCCAAAAGTCATTTTCAGGTATATAAAAAATATAAAGGTGAAAGAGAAGCCATACAGATTTTGGGAGATGATAGAAGAATCTTTTCATTACCTGAGAATCAAGAGAGATTTCTCTGGACACAGAAAGTGTTAACTCTAAAGGAAGAGATTACTAAATTGTTCTATGCTGAAATTAAGAACTTCTCTTTATCAATAGTACCTCTGAGAAATTTTAAAAGCAAGTCACAGATGCTACTGGTATAGCTTCCAAAGAGCTCATATCCAAAATATTAAAATCAAGCTATATTAATTCATTTAAAAAGCCTAAAACAAACAAAGGTAAATGGGCAAGAGATTTAATAGCCACTTTAAGAAAAAAAGTTTTTCATATGGCCAATAAAAAGTTGTTTAACTTCTTTACTAATCAAAGAAATGCAAAATAAGACCAAAGAAGACACATCCAACAGTATGTCTAAAATTTGAAACTGATTCTAATTTTTCTTAGCATGTGCAGCAATTGAAATCCATTTATAGATAAGTAAATTGATACACCTATTTTGAAGATTAATTGGGTCTTTCTAGTCATTTTGAGGAATGCATAGCCCATCATTCAGAAATTCTGATTTTAGATATATGCTTGACAAAAATATGAGCATATATCCACCAGAACACAAGTGTATGAATGTCCATAGTTGCAGTTTTCATAATGACCTCCAACTCTAGATAAGCCAAACACTGTTCATCAATAGTCAACTGGATAAAAAACTTTACTACATTTAGACATTGATAGTCTATACAGCAAAGAAAATGAATGCATTATATCTTAGTTTAAAGGGAATATCCAGCAAATAAAAACAAACAACAACAACAACAACAAAAACAAATGAAAGAAAGAAAAAAGAATCGAGGATTATTTGTAAAAGTTAAAAAAGAAAAAAAATAAACCATATCTCTAGAAGTCAGGATGGTGGTTATCTTGGGGCAAGAGAGAGGGAGGTCTTCTAGAGGTACTGGCAATGTTCTTTCTATTTCTTGTTTTGGGTATGTGGGTTGTGGTTTTACAACAGACCAATGCAAAAAAATGCCACTTCTGGTCAAATAGGTGGGTGGATTCGATGCAATCCTAGTAGGATTTTTTTTTTGTAGTACTTAAGAAACTGTCTCTGATTCTAAAATACACATAAAAGTATAAAAGGAAAAGAATAACCAAAACCTCATGAAGAAAACCAAGATGGGGGTGACCTATTTTCCCAGCTGTCAAGAGGACATTTAAGGGCACTCACTAAAGCTGACATTTACGTGTTGTACCCTTTTTTTGGTATGCATGGCATGCTTCACAGTCAAAAAGGATGCTAGCTATCGCATAGGAAGTAGTAGCTAGGAAAACACCACGGTGAGGATGGACCTGGTGACCCACACGTGCAAATGCAAGAGATAAGGTGGTTACTCTTGGGACTTGCTTATGTTTAAAGATTTGTTTTCAGCAAGTGTAATAAAGCCTCCAGAGCACTAGGACATAGCAGAAATAAGAGCTCTGTCCAAGAATCTGTCTCCTGATCTTCAAAAAGGAATTTACTGTCATCTGATGCAGTTTTCCAAAGTACTAATCAAAATTGTCTTTATCTTCACATACTTTACTCCAGAATTTGACCACCCCCCACACCCCCAAATGTCCTGCTTTTGGCTTATAAATCACCTAGAATTGATTTCATGTCTGAAAAACGACAATGGCTCCACATTTGACCACAGTCCTTGCAGCCTCCCTGCCTCTTATATCCAGTGGTATCTGCTCCCCAAATTCCATCATGTCTCAATTTCCCCATCATTTTCTTCTTAGACCTGTGATCACACTGCCAGTTTTGCTTTCTTCCATCTCCAATCTTCACAGCATCTTCTACTTCAACCACCCTCTTAACCAGAATCCTCGAGATCCTCCCTTCCCTATCCCTTTTGCTGTCTTCCTAAACTTGGGTCAGTTCAACATGTCACGCCATAGCCTTTCCAAACCATCCCCTCTCCTCCTCTCAAACCTGCACCCTTTTCCCCAGAGAAGGAGAGTTTGGTACCATAGAACTAACTCTGCACTCCTAGAAGGCCCGAGTTGGAAGGAGTCATATGTCATATGTTCACAGCTTGCTCATTTTTTTCTTAGGAAGAAGTAGATGACCAGAAGATCACCCAGTGTTTCCCACTATTTCAAATAATAAACAGCCCCATGTGACACTGGTTTAGTGACCTCCAGGAGAGCTCTGGTTCTTGACTTATCGTTCCCTAATCTCATCTGCTGTTTAACCCACGCAGAGCCATGAATGTCAGACATGCAAGGTGGACTGGCCAGGAATCCTGTGGGAAACATGGGGCAGGCCCCTCCCAAGGAAAGTAGAGAACTTACACCTGCTTTCTGGACTTGGGCGTAGATAGTAAGGCTTTTTTCTTCCGCAGCTGGTTGGTATTGGTTTTTGTTACCTGGGGGAAAAGAAACCAGAGTGGTTATTTCCCCAGTCCCCAGCCCTGCTCAGAACTGTCTGGTCTTTACTTCCCAATGAAACTCACCTTTCCCTGGGCTACCATGAGAACAAGGTACCGAGTCCCAAGCCCCTGAACATGTGTCATAGGATGCTGGGGTCGTTACTTGATCTCTCTAGGCCTCTTTCCCTACCTGAAAAATGAAATTTGAAATATCTGCCTCATGGGGCCTATTGTGGTAATTATGAAATATTCTTGTAAAGTTCTTAGAACAGGGCCCAGCACACAGTAAATGCCCAATAAGTGTGCAGTAGAGTTCTCATTGGTGTGTCATTCAATTATTATAATGTCTATCATTTATGGGCCTATCTGCTCTTCTAATAGGATTCTAAGTTCTTTGATGTCAGGGCAGGTTTATTTATACCTCTTTAGTTTCCTCCAGCTGGTAGATGCTGCTTCACTCACAGCTTGCTGACGTATTTCTGGAGGATGTGTGTATGTGGAGGGTGCATGCGTGGATGTGAAGGGTGACACTATAGAAGGATGGTCTACCTGGGACTATTTGGAAAATCTAATTGTACAGTCATTCTACTCTCTCCATCTGGAAAGTTTGCTCAGGACCTAGATTCTCTGTAAATTAATCACTTTTAAATGTTACTTTTTAACCCATTTAGGAAGTTTTCTTTTAAAATTATGAGTAATCCACTCTCATTACAAAACATTAAATTACACAGAAATTGTATAATGTAAAAAGTAAAGTCCCTCTCCCTAATCAACCCAGTTTCATTCCCAGAAGTAACCACTTTTAAAAGTTTGATGTATGCCCTTTTAGACGAGCTCTGTGCAATATAGTACTTTCTGTGATGATGGAAATGTTCCAGAATTGCACAGTCTAATACAGGTAGTAGCCCTAAGTGGCAACTGAGCACTTGAAATGTGACTAATGCAACTGGAAAACTCTATTTTATATCTTATTTAAGTCAAATTAGATTAACTCGTCGTGAGGTGGCAGGCTGATTGCTTGAGCCTGAGTTTGGTCCAGACCAGTCTGGGCAACATAGGGAGCCCCTGTCTCAAAAATAAATAATAAATAAATATTACTAGCTACATGTGACTATTGAACAGTGTAGTTCTGGACATTTGCTATATTTATATAGGTTTTTGTTTGTTCGATTTACACAAATGGTGTTACACATATTTTCTCTATAACTTAACCTCTTAAAAATGTTTTCAGTATCCTGGAATGTTGTGCTACTGAACTACATCTCAGACCTTTAAATTTTTTTTCTTTTGAGACTGAGTCTTGCTAAGTTTCCCAGGCTGGCTTTGAATCTGTGATCCTCCGGCCTCAGCCTCCTGAGTTACTGGGATCATAGGCGTGTGCCACTGTGCCTGTCCTTATTCGTTTGAACGTTGCTTATCTTTTGCATATATCAGGCAGAACTGAGAATGGTGGGAAACTAACAGACTGAAGCACAGAGGACTTTTAGGGTAGTATTATAAAATCCAGGCAGAGGAATAAAGGGGCTTGGCCCGGAGGTTACTCTTTCGGGTAAACATATTTTTAACACTGATGAATTTATCCTCTTAAGCATGTTTCTGAGAGATTGGCTCAGAGAAGAGGTCCACTTTTATCTGAGAGGGGAAGTCCCAGTGTGTATGTTGTGAATGTGGTGGAATGTGCTACATGATGGTGTGAATTTGGGGAAGGAAATGGTGGGCAGCCCCAGAGAAATTTCAAGGAATTCAAAAGAAGTCAGTGCATGATTTTCCTGTGTGTGTATGGGCATGGCATGGCTCCAACTTCACTGTTGTCAGAGAACAAGAGAGTGAAATAGAGGGTAATGCTGGGGGGTGACCAGAAGCAGTTGGAGGTAGTAGAGGGATGGATGCAAGGCAGATCTGTGAAATGTATCCTTTTGGTTCGAATACATGAGTGTTTGAAAAGTTAGGTACGGCTGCCTAGCACTGTCCTAAGTGCTGTCTCCTAGGGGATACGAGTAGAGAAGATTCCAGTCCTCACGGACTTCCAATCTTTAGGTCAGCTCGGGATGAAATTTTGAATTGGAGAATTCAGTCCTAAATGGTCAAACAGGTGAAAAAAAGAGCAGCTGACTCAAAAAAAACCCAAAAAACCAAAAAAAAAAAAAAACAACAACAACAACAAAAAACAAACCCACCATGGGCTCAGTATAATTTAGTCTCTGATTCCCCCCCCCCCCCCCCCCCCCCCCCCCCGCATCCCAGTGCAAGAGCAGGTTTTCAGGAGCCAGTTCAACTTGGGCTCAAAGCCAGCAAGGTCTTAGGGTCTAATGAAAGAGGTCTTGATCTTAGAATTAGGGCATCTTATTCTAGTCATTAGCTATGTGACACATTGCACAAACTGATGTCATCTCAATGGGTGTCTTCCCTTACCCAAACAGTGAAATGTCCTTTTCAGCTCTACCTGAAGCAGAAAAGTGTCCTATGTTACCATGACTTCAAGTATTTTAAACTTGCTATAAGTATCAATTGTGTGTGTGTGTGTGTGTGTGTGCATTGCTGGGAATAGAACCCAGGGCCTCATATATGCTAGGCAAGTGCTCTACCACTGAGCTACATCCCCAGCCCTCTAAGTACTACTTTTAGATTCTTCGGATGCAGCCCTCAGATGGCAATGGAACTTAAACACTAATGTTTTAACTCACCTACATCAAGAGATTTGTGTGTGTGTGTGTGTGTGTGTGTGTATGTATATATGTATGTATCACTCTTGGAGGCCACGGTGTTTGTTTATTTCCTGCATATTAACTTAACAATCAACACCACAATACCATGAAGTACATAACATTAACCCCATTTTGCAGATAAGCAATGAGTCATTGGCTTGGCTACAGGCTCATCGGTAGCAAAGTCCACATTTGAATGTAAGTTTGTCTAAAGCCAAAGCCTATGTTGGTAGCCAGTGTATTTTCCTGGAGCTGAAATTACCAGAGAGTCCGTTTGACCCTCTTCAGAATTAGGCTGCATTCTGGAGACGATACCATTAGAAGCTGCCATTAGATGATACTATGAGAAGCTGCAGTTTTGTGGAGGGTATAGCAACTAAATGTAGGTTTGGACACCAGTTTGAAGCTGACTTTTGTGTTTACAAGGAGTAAATAGTGACTGGAGATGAGGATGGGTGTGTTGGTTGGCAGAGATGTGGTGGGCTGGGAAGCACTGTTTTCTTCGGAGCTCAAGCATGTGATGAGTAGAATGTAGTTGGGTAAAGCAGGGGTCTGAATCCCAGCACCTTTGCTAATTAGGTTAATGTGGGTGAATTCATCTCGGTTTTCTCATCCCTAGTATCTCACTGTTTCCTTATAATAGAAGCCACATGTGGTTGCCCCACCCCCATACCTTAGGTTCTCAACAGAATTTCTATCTGAATCACCCACTCCTCCTCCCCCATTGCCTCCCCAGCCAAGTCTTAGATGGAGGAAATGAGAAAAAGTAGGCAGATGTGCTGTGATCTAGATTTTTTTTTATATAAGCAAAACCAACATCAGATTGCTGAGGTAAGGGCTTTTCTAAGAAGATTGTGATGTGGATAACATTGATCTGCTTGAGAATGGGATCCATCCCTGGCTGCATTGGTGATATGAGCCCGGGAGGGCCAGTCAGGACATTTGTCCTGGTCTCAGGGCAGGATATTCTGGTTCTAGTGTGGGTCAGTGACAGTGTGGCCTAGGGAAGCACACTGCTCTGAGATATTAAGTCATAAGATAATTTGCAGGAGTGGCCAGGAGAGAATACCTGTTAACACTTAAACTACAGAAAAATAATCGAGCCTTACTGGTTTCAGTCTATCCTGGGAAATTTTTTTTTGGTACTGGGGATTGAACTCAAAGGCACTGTACCACTGAGCTACATCTCCAGTCTTTTATAGTTTTTTTTTTTAATTTCAATTTTTAAAATTTTATTTTTTGAGACAGGACCTGGATAATTGGCCCAGACTGGCGATCTTCCTGCCTCAGCCTCCCAAGTCACTGGAATTACAGGTGTGAGCCACTGCACATGGTTTATCCTGGGAAAAATTTTGTAGGAGATCCAAGAATTCTCTGAATTCTCCTCCCTAATGAATTCTGTTAAGCCTCTCTTCTGGACCCCTTCAGCATGCTGGGCATATCTCCACTAAATTGAAATTGCATAATGTTTCCCACATTACACACCTCTGGCTCTTTTCTCTATTATTCCCAGAGGTTGGTATGGAGGATCAAGACATGTTGAATTCAATTGAATTGAGCAAGGTCCCAGGAGATGTTTATTTAGTATTTTTCAAAAGTGGCTCCACATAGAACGCTGCAGTGGTGAGAGCAAGTCTAGGCTTGTGGGGAGAGGTCCTCTGCTTACCTAAGGGTCTAGTAAGAATCTCTCTATTGTCCAGACACCTACCTCTTCTTCTCCACAGTAGGATTACCACTTCAATAGTCATGATGACACCCACGATGCCCCCTAGCAACAGTCCAGCATACAGTCCCCATTGTCTTGATTCTGAAAAAAATTCAAAAGGGCCATCTCAAAAGCATTGCAAGCTTAAAAACATCCTACTACCAAGTGGGAAGACTGGGCTTCCTGTTCTGTTCCTACCTCCTCTCCAAGAGGAGTTATTCATTTATGCGTTTTTTGTTGTTGGTGGTGGTGGTGGTTTGTTTTTCCTGATATTGAACTCATGGGCATTTTGTCACTGAACTACTATTTATTATTTTGAGACAGAGTCTCACTAAGTTGCTCTTTTGGCCTTGCTAGGTTGCTGAGATTGGCCTCAAACGTGTGATTCTGCAGCCTCGCTGGGATTACAGGGGTTGCTACATACCCTGCTTTGTTTACTAGATTTTAAAGGTCAGCTTTAGATCACTGAACATTTCCTTGTTTTCTTACCCTAACTTCATTCACTATACTTGACTTTCATATTCCTAATTTCCATAGATTATTTTTCTATTAAAATGCTTTATTTCCTCTTCAACTACCACATGTCTAAAATGAAACGTATCTTTATCTCTGCCCCATTTCTATTTTTAAATTTCTAATGGGTCCCATATCCATTTTGGGTCAAAAAGAACTTGCTCGTTCTGCATGCTATCCGCATGCCCTCACACCATTCTCATGAGACACTGGGAGAAAAAAAAAATCTGCTCTTCTTTTTAAAAAATAAACACAATAGTACTATTATTATCCTTTAATGCAAATAACTATGTTGAACTCACCAGACCTGAACTAGAAGAAAAGCATGTCGTTTTTCCTCTCACTTACTATCATGTTTAAAATTAGCCAGGCTCAGCCAGGCCCCAAATCAGAGAGTCAGCTTTATAACTTTCTCTCCATTAGCCACTTTACCAAAGGAGCAACACTTTGGAAACTAGTGGATGAGACCTCCTGCCCCAGTAGATAAGACATACAGTTCAGTAATATCAGGCAATTATTAAGTGCATACAATTGGTTAGATGTTTGTGCTGGTGTGCATTTGTGTACTGATGTATTTAAATATCACAATAATATTAGGACGTGGATACTCTCATTATTCCCATTTTATGGATAGGGAAGCAGGCATGGAGAACCTCAAGAATTAGAACTTGGTCTAGGAGTAGAAGTACAGCTGCATGCTAAAGACAGAGAGTTACACCAGGGTGATGAACAGTGGGGTCCACCTAAAGCAATATGCTTCCATGTAATAGCACTAAACTTCTGAATAGCACAAACACGAGGTGTTAATGTGAATGGATAAGGGTGACTTTTAAGGATGATTGTGGAACAAGCCTGCTTTTTGTTGAACCTGTGAGGGATTTGTTGGGAAGACACAGAAAGGAAGGAAGAGGTAGGTTACAAAGGAACTGAGTCATTACATACACAATTCAGATGTTTACAGGACTGGCCAAATATAGATGGAGATCTCATTGAATTGATAAACAGGCATCGCACCAAGATCTAATAGGGCCTCCAGCCAATAGCTACCAAGAACTTTCCTTCTGGGTTTGAAAAGATTCTTTTCTTCCTGGGCTTTTCATATCTCAAGTCATCTCAAGGTATCTCATTGAACTGGCTGGTGAAAAACTTAGTTACAGATTCTCTTCCCCAAATTAAACATATTTGAACCCTGCCAAATACCAACTTCAGCAGTCATATGATTTGATCAAAAAGTTTAGGGGTAAACAGAAAATTCTAAGAAGTCTTCTGATTTTTGTATAAAGCATGAAATTTGGAATCACTGCTGAGGCCATAGGTATCCTGTGAGCTGTTCCACTCTGAAAAGCCACTCTGACTGGTTTATGGTGACTGAGAACCCTCAGTGCTGGGAGGTGTGTATGTGTCAGAGAGAGGGTATCCTTGGTTCAGGGCTTACGCTGTCCACACCAGGGACCCACGGAGAAACCTCCCCAGTACTAAGATAAGAAGCAGAGCCAGCGGCCCAAGCTTCTTTCATCAGCCCATAGAACTGACCTAGCAAATTGTTATAGTAGCACTTACTATTCTGAGACTATTTCCTCTTTCTTTTTCTATTGTATGTATTTTGGGAACTTCCAAAATAGCAGTTAATTTGAAAACCAACCTCTGAATCACTTACAATGTTTTAAAAGTTAATATTTCTCCTAAATTTCACTTGAGATCAAAACCCAAGAACAACCTACAAGGTGATGCTTCTAAGGATTGCCTGCCAGGTCAGCCTTTCTGCTGTCCCCCGGGGTCTCCTGCTCTCAGTTCTGCCCCCCACCCTCCTCCACACACAGACCGACAGTAATAGACACATTGCCAGGCTCTGAAGACATGAAAATACCAGCCCTCTAGCCCTCTCTGTCTTTTCCAGGATCTCATTGATCCAAAATCAATCTGCTACTTTTGTCCTATGACCAAAAAAAAAAAAAAAAAAAAAAGATCAGCCTCTGGCAGCAAAGCCATGTCTGAAAGATGATCTGACCATGTTCTTGAAAGATAGTTCATCAACTAGTTTTTCCTCCAGTCTTTGGATATAAATATGAATATATTTGGGCATTTAAGTTACAGAACCAGAGGTTTTTAAAAACAAAACTGAAAGAAGTACATACTGTGTGTGTTTCGCCCATTTTATGTCAGGGAAACCGACTCAGACTAGTGTACCTAGAGCCCCAGAAAAAGTTGGTGGCCAAACGGGGTGAGATGAGAGCTACAGATTTTGTAGATTTTGAGTTAGTCTCTGGGGATGGGATCCCCACTAGAAAAGCGGTGGTAGGCTCTGATGCTTGGGAGAACTCTTGAGCCTAAAGTCAATCTATCCCTTCACCATCCTCCATCTAACAGGCACCCACTCCTGATCCCATACTGCACTCCATAGTTCTCCTTCCTGAAGCACCTTGCTTGTCCACCATGCCTGCCCAGCCTCAAAGCTCAGATCACGCGTACGTCCTCTGTATCTCCTTCCCTGGCCACCCTGTCCTCTTCATTCTTCCCTCTGCACTGGGCTCCTTCAGCATCTGTGCTTTGGCAACATTATCTTTGCCATGGAGACCCCTTTCCGTGATGGCATTTGGAGCCGGACAGATGGACTCAAATTCTTTGTGTACCACTTCATAGCTCTGTGCCTCACGTAAGCCGTTCTAGCCTCTGGGGCCTTAGTTTTCTCATGTGTAAAATGATAATAATGATATTCAGTTTGCAGAATTGTTCTGATGAATCAGGACAGTGATGCGTGGAATATGCCGAGTGATACCTGGAATCCATCACCTGGTTAATTAAATATCAACTACTTCTGTAATCATCAATTCCCTAACTAGCTGTTCGGTTCTTAGAGGCCAGAGACCAACTCTTATACAGTATGTCTTTTGCAATTTTCTCAGTACTGGTACAAAATAAGTCCTCAAAACCAGGCACAGTGGTATATATGTACCTGTAATCAAGAGACTCAGGCAAGGTGCAGTGGCTCATACCTGTAATCCCAGCAGCTCAAGAGGCTGAGGCAGGAGGATCCCAAGTTCAAAGCTAGTTTCACCAATTTAGTGTGATTGTCTCAAAATAAAATACAAAAAGGGCTGGGGTTGTGGCCCAGTGGCTAAGTGCCCCTGGGTTCAATCCCTAGTACCAAAAAGAGAAAGAGAGGGTGGGGGAGGGAGAGATGGATAGAGATACTTGGGAGTATGAGACAGGCCTGGGCAATTTAGTGAGACCCTGTCTCAAAACAAACAATTAAAAGGGCTGGGAGATGTATCTCAGGGGTACAGTACCCCTGGGTTCTGCCAACAAAACAAATATACACATATTACAAACAAAACAAAATCATAACAAGTCCTCAGTAAATTCCTGTTGGTTGATTGGAAGGGTGGAGAGATAGGTTTGATCTCAAGTCCAAAGGAGTCTCCTCACTGATGTACAAATACCTCAGTTCCATCTCATCCATTGCTTATGACTTAGTTTCCCTACCTGAATAACAGGCCAAAGTGTTTCTGCACTTGGTGCCCATCCACTTGGTGCTATTCTCTAATTATGATATTGATACGGAAGCTAAATGTCAGGGACTCTATGCTCCTAGAAAAAGCCACAAGTGTGGCAAAATGCTGCTTTTCTAGCTTGTTGAGATCAGCTGCCCACAGTTTCTGAGAGCCATTTCTTCATGATCCTCTAAGTCTTTGCTCCTATAGCTCCACTTATTCTGCTCTGTGCAGGCTTGGGTGCAATGTTCAGTCCCTACATCAGTTTCCACACCAAACAAAAGCAAAACCAAAAAACCCTACCTCAGAAATTTTGTGGGTTTAAATTCTCTACTGAAGAGTTGAAGTATCACAGGGAGCAGATTCTAATGTGAACCAGAATGCTTTTACCATCTGATGAGCTCAGAGCTTTGCTTTCTGTTCCTATTTCTGAATGAGCAATATCCTCCCCTTTTTTTCCTACAGAGCCTCCAACATTCACCTGGATTTCTTGGTGTTCTCATATTCTACTTCCTAGTATTTATTAGAGTAGTATCCTAAACGAATAATGTTACCTTCCAAAGAGCAACTCTAGTAGTGGTTTCTTTAGGATAATATTTTTCAGTCTGGGCCTGAACAGTGGTACGTGCCTGTAATCCCAGTAATTCAGGAGGCTAAGGCAGGAGGATCAAAAGTTCGAGGTCTGCCTCAGTAACTTAATGAGGCCCTAAGAAATTTAATGAGACCCTGTCTTAAAAATAAAAAACATAAACAGGGCTGGGGATGTAGCTCAGTGGGGAAAAAAAAACAAAAAACAAAAAAACAACACCATGGGTTCAATCCCAAGTACCCCCCCCACCACCAAAAAAAAAAAAAAAATCAATCAGATGAAGTATAGAAATCCCACTGAGATTGAAATTTCATAAAGGTGGACTCAGTACTTCGTTCTTTATTTGCATTTCTAATTCCATCTGATACAATATAGGACAGGGACCGTTCTATGTGCACTAGATGGACTTAATTTATATTAAAGGTCATATGAATGAATCTGGAAAAAGACTAATGTAACCTTTTGTTAAGAATTATCAGAGTGCTAAATATAAGAAGGTTGCCAGGTAC